ACTAAGAATAATATATCAATTACTTTCGACTTTAAGGGATTATAAAATTAAACTTTAAACTATAATAGAATAACAATAATAGTATTGTTATATTTTAATTTTAAGAATATTGTAAAGATGTAGTTTATAATATAATATTTTTTAGTTCCAGTAAGAGTGTGTAAAAAAAAATTAAATGGTTTTATAGTGAAACATATTATTTAATTTTCTAAAAAATTTTCTTCGAAATTATTTAAAACATTTGCAATCAAGAGTAATTTTTTAAACATTCTATATAATTATTGTACAGAATTACATGTTGATGAAGAGATTAAATGTATTGTATATGCTGCAACTTACAGTTAGTTAATCTATTTTAATCCGCGGTAGCATTACTTTTTTTTTAAGACACTCATTGTGTATTGCTACGTTTTATTGTATCGAAGTAATCCAATAAATAAAATCAGACAGCAATTTCATAGATATAAAGGAAGATTATACATTTAAATTATGTCTATCACTTTGTATACATAATAATTGTATATGTAATAATATTTTAAGAACACGATCGTGTAAATGATATACATAAATATAATGAAGAACGCCAATAATCGGTCAAAATTAGACGTGAATACAATATATATTCTTAATTTAAATTTAATTATCTCAGATGTAATTATGCGCCGAAACATTCGAACATTTCTATATATGAAATTATTCCCTCTAAATTAATTCGGTAAAAAACTTATTGTAAAAAATATTATCTCAGTCAGTATGTCCGAATATTTCGGCGCACAGTCTCACATCTGAGATAATTAAATTTAAATTAAGAATATATATTGTATTTATAACATCTAATTTCGATCGATTATTGGAGTTCTTTATCATATTAATAATATTAATATTTTAATTATATTGAGCAATTTTAAACAAATGCAGAACTTCATATAAATAAAAATTGTAATAAATCCTATATTAATACAATACTGTAAAAATTAGTCGGAACTTAGAGTATTAATAAATTTTATCATAAAATATGAAGATCAATGTTAGTGTCAAGTCTTTTTTGTAACAAATATGTCTTCACACTGTAATATTGACTTGTTTTATTTCTTACAAAATAATATCTGTGCTTAAGTACTAAATTAAAAAAAAATGTAATATCCTCAGAATTATTAACTGACAATACAATTCTCTGGGAGTCGAAGATTGAAGGGATCTGAAAGGATTGAAAGAATCGTGCATGCAAAAGAGATGCATTTGTATACTCTCGTTTGCGACGGTACCGTATCTCGTATCGCTTCATAGATAAATTTCAATTTAGCTCGCGCCTGGTTGCTCGCAAAATTAGAGGCGATTCGAGTCCAGGAGGCAATGCGTTACGTTTCTTCCGTCGCGTATCGTAATGCGAGGAAGGGATCGGATGTAAATCAAACTCGGATAGCCGTGAAACGAGACTTCAGACGAGACGAGGTCAGAGACGGAGCTCTGGAAATAAAATTACGTCTTCGATCGTGCGTAAATGAATTTACCGCTATCCTATCGGTTCTTTCTTAACACGCCTCTGCCGTTTAAAGGAGTCGCGAATAAAGCGTGAGAAATTCCGATAAATTTTACATAGGTTCTAATTTAAAAAAATATAATAAAAATAATCTAGCTAAAGTTATCAATTCTCATATTTAATTTCCTCGGAAACGAAATTCTGCATAGTTTAAATTCTTTATTTTTCCTCTGATAAAACTATTTTAACTATCTTCTTTAAATTCCTGACCAATATTGCTGAAAACGAAAAAACAAACAATATTCATCAGTATTTTTAATTTCTTTCATTTCTTCTTTTTTAGTTTAAGGTTAGTTTCGTTATAGGTTGAATAAAATTTTTAATTAAAAGAAAAATCAAATCACTTTTTTCTTTAAAAATTCATTTCGAAAAAGGAGTCTTAAAGTCAAAAAAACATATACGTTAACCTTTTTCCTTATATTTTGCTAAAGATCTTACCGAGACTTACGAAAGAGAGAGAAGTAATTATGAAGAAAAAAACGGAGCAATTAAAAACCGGAAAAAGATCTCACAGAGTCCCTCGGTTGCCGGTCTTGTCGATCCGGTAATCGCATTAGAGACAGTAATTACGACACCGCTCGCAGTAACGTGAAACCCGTAGGTTGGGTAAAGTACTGGACAGGGTTATGCAGATTGCTTTATAACCTTGTTACCGATCACTCTATTAACCTTACGAGGTTGAAGTCCCAACCCTCTCACTAGCTTGTTCCTGTGTCAGAAGCCGGGCGACAACGAGAGACGAAGGATATCGCCTTCTCGTATTTATAATGTTCTATCATTCAGGCTTGGATCTTATTTTTTTTGTTCTTCTAAAATTATCAAGTAATCGCAGAACCCATAATATAAGTTTGTAAAACGTCATTTTTGAAAGTCATATGACATCTGATATATTCAATTTGCTTCAAGACTCGCTCTATATCGAGAAAATATTCTAACAAAATTGAGAGAGAACGATCTTCGGGAGTGACCCGAGTTTTCTGAAATCGCGCGAGAACTCATGTCTTCTGCAATTCATCTTTTGCGCCGACCCTCTCGATCCGACCGTGCTTTGACGCGAACTCACCGAGGAAGATCGGCGCCAGAAACTGCGGATGACACGTGGAAATGAGGGCGTTTGTTCTAGAGCCGCGGATCACGATCAGGAAATCCGGTGTTACGCGACTAAGGGATACCAGAAGCGTTCCGGTCACCTCGGTGACGTGTCAACGAGTCTAAAGATTCCGTAAACGTATCTGGCAGGCGAATAATACTGCGGACATGCTTAACACATTGATGTAGTGGTTATAGATGACCCTGTGGTGTGATACTGACATCTGTCTCATTGACAGGGAGAGTATAATCAATTCTAGTTTCCTTATCTTTTTTTAAAATTGAGAATTTAAAATATCGATGAATGTAATTTTAAAAAATTATAAATCAGGCTCCAGTTAATATAAATTCATAAATTGACGGAAATAAAGGAGGACTATTCGAGTCAAGATGGGCGTCATGTGCTATTGAAATTAACACTCAAATCACGCACACATAATTTTAAAAATATATCATACGTTTTGACCATTTAATGTGATCACTTTTTCAATGATTATCAATTAAGACTATTACAATTGAAACAGTACAATGATTGATATTGACGAATCATAATTCTTGAGAAAGGAATTTGTGAGACTCACGAAAGATTGTAATAACGATAAGATAATAGGACTACAATTATGTTATAATTCAATGTACGTTGACTAAGCAATTAAAAAAATTACAAATCACTAATGAATATAAAATTGAAGAAGGTATAGCGTATATGTTTTATGTATTGCGAGGTTTAATTTGTAATAGTCTTTTGATTGCATATCATTAAAGACAGTCACATTAAATGGTCAAAATGTATGATTTTTCAAAATTATGATTTGAGTGTAATTTTTAATAAGTGACATTCAGCTTCACTCAAAAAAAGCCTTCCTTTATTTTTGTTAATTTATGAATAAGTAATTAATAATGATAATTAAACGGGATATATAACGTATTTGTTTAATAACATTTATTCTAATATTTCTTGATTTTTATATTGTGTGAATATATTATACGGGGAAATACTTTAACATTTCGCTTTTTGACGATATTATTTGGCGAAAATCAAATGTTATTTCATTAATTTGTAAGGCAGGAATATTGACTGTATATGCATGATTAAATTAAAACGTTACTGACAATTTTTGACGGTAGTTTATTATCGCGAAGAACAATGTCATTATGTCGCACAAATAATTTAATTACAATTAACAATTCATATTAATTAATATAATTCGGTAAAGTACAGTGCGCTTATCGACCATATTACTTAAACGCATGTAATGCACTGCGTTCCGCAATATGAATTATTAATTAAACATTTAACAGCGTGATAACTCGTTTATATAGCCAATTAAATCTCCGCTTTCGACCGTTACCAAATAATTGAACTGTATTATGTAATAAATGAAATCATGTAAACATAAATTTATCCTTGATGAAGTAAAATTACTTTTAAATATGTCTAACACCACAAAAAATTGTTTTAAAATTTTAGTTTATTCTCTGAAAAGATCTTCCTATATTCATGACATTTAAGGCGAAAATATAGTAACTCTTTCGTGCTTTATTATCTATAAACGTGATAGGAATCACAGATTGGATTGATTTACATTTTAATGTACATGAAAATTAAATACTATTAGATATCAAAAGAACAATGGTAACTCAATCTCTTGGATAATATTTTATTATTTTTAATTTTCATTATTTTTAAAATATAAATGAATCTATTCTGTGATTAGTTTCAGAATAAATATCGTCCATATTAACGTATGCATTTAGTAAACAATAAACTAAATTCGAGTCAAATTTAATATACATTTTGTTAAATTGAATTGTTTAATTTCATTTTAGTCAAATTGACAATATATTGAGTAGGCGCGATACCATCCTATAGAAATAATTAAAAATAACTCGAATTAGATGTAATTTAACATGAATTTAACAGTTATAAATTTAACAGTGTATAAAAAAATGAGTGAAATTATATTAGGTGTTGGAATTAATTCGTAGCGTTTTACAAGAGATGGGAAGTACTTTTATTAATGTATTTTTTAATGCTCATGTGAAATAAATAACATTCTTTCATTAAAAACGCTACGAATTAATTCCAACACCTAATATATTAGCAGTATGATAGATCAATGATTTTTTTTACTTCTTTTAAACCAAAATTCGACTTATTTTTCAATAAAGTCTTCTCTTAAAAAGTCACTAACTTATTCAACTGCCCACATATTAGTGCGTCTCTTCTTAGTGACATACGAATCACTGATTGTGAGTATATTAACGGATCTACTCGATGTTTATTAATCTTATTTTTATATACTAGTTTGCTATGCACACATTCGAAAGTTTATTCATTAAAAATTATATTTATGAAGGGGATACTCACTGAGATCGGTCGGTTCGGCCGGAGCGAGCGTTCTCCGGTCCTGTATCGCCGCTATCGTTGCTAGCCGTCGAGGCTGCGACCCGGTTGGCGAGGAGTGTCGGGGCACTCCGATAGATACTGCACGGACGATTGAGAGCGATAAGGGCGATAAGGGCGCATCTCACCTCGCTCGTGCCGGCCTGGAGCCGTCGCTCTCTCTGCTCACCACCGTCTGCGTCTCCCGTGCTTCTTCGACGTCCTCTTCTTGATCCTCGAAAAGATCCAGAAGCCCCCAGCCGCCGGCAGAGCGCATGGTCACTGCGTTCCCCGTTTACCACCCCTTCGTACTTCGCGTTCTCTCGCCCTCCCACCTGTTCGCCATCTCTTTCTCTTTCAGTCCTGCTTCCGCCTCCTGCCTTTTGACTATACATTTCTCTCTCTTCATTGCACACACATGCGCATACAAAACGTTGACAGACACGCACATACCCTTATACACGCATAATTTCTTTTTGTTCTCTTCTCCTTCCTTTCTCTTTTCCCTTTTTATCCATTTCTAAAATAATAACTAAATTTATTTGCTTGTTCCTCTCATTTTCGTTCGTTATTTCTATTTCTCTCGTTCCTCCCCACTTTACAGCCGATGAGTTCCTCTTTCGCGTGGCCTATTTCGACATTACTCTGGTCATTCGTCTCCCTCCACCGAGGCGATTGTTGACGCCCCCATATTGTCTCTGTATCATCCATTCCCTCGCGATCCACCCCTTCTCAAATCTGTCAATTTTTAATAGAATCGACGGTATCTGTTTATTTATTTTTTTCCTTATTCCATGTCAGTACAGATATTTTTTTATCATCAGTAATCAATTTATGATTTTATGCGATTATCAAATAAAATAAATAATAATAAATAAAATAAGCTTCTTCTATAATTTTAATTAATAAAGTTGAATAGAACGAATTGAGATTTGTTGAAATTGAGAATTGTCTCGCAATTTTGTATCTAAATATAAATACGTTTCTACGCTCTTAACATTGTCAAATATAGTGTAGATCTTTTTAGGAAACAGTAAAAAAGAATAAGAGGGGTGAATCGGTTTATAATTTTCGTCTTAACGCATAACACACGAACATAATCAAGATTCTCCGACTTTAGCCGCCTGGGAATGGTGCGGAATTTACTTCGAGGCTACAAAGGAATGCAAAGATCGCGAAGAATTCTCTATATGAGTCGTCAACGCCCCTTCGGCTCTTTATTAAAACGGCTCTTATCGCATTCCAGAAACAAAGATAGCGCCGATATATTCGCGCGTCATCGCCATCTATTTTCGACATTCGCGGGTTCTGAACATTGGTCAACGAAGAAACGCGAGATGGAAATTCTTCCATTGCGCGTGAGTGCGTTATATTTGTTAAGAGGCAGGTAAATAAACGAACCAACCTCCTTCGCGCGGTGGACTTCCCAGAAAGTCGTTCTCGTTGCCAGTTTGCCACCTGTAGAGTCGAACGCGAAAGCAATATAGAAATTCCAGGCAGGAAGTGAATTCACTTGTTGATTTTAGGAAACTCCTGAGGAAAACACACGAGGTGCAACTTGTTGCTAAAGGAATCATCGCTAATCAGTTTTAGCCGTAAAGTTTTATATAGGGATGGATGGTGGGTGATTAATGAAGTAAGAGAATCTGGAGATAGGAGATTATTATTGAAATAACGAGAGCATCCAAGTAGATCGAATTAATATTGCCTAGGGTCAACTTCGTCAGCGATCTCTTCGTTAATTATCTCAATTAATAATTTTAGCGTTTAAATTGAGGATAATTTAAATTATCGTTACACTCGCACGCGCGTGTATAAATATTTTTTATAATATTATTAGGTAAAATCAAAATCGCAGGTGATATTTTTTAAAATATATTTCCGTGGATCTGAGGAAGTATTAAAACGTGCATTTATTGTAAAGTACATTATATGATTTGTAATATCAAAACAAAAAGATTAATATTTGTGAATGAGAAACAATTAAAACCCCCTAGGAGTTTGTTCCATTTTGGGGTTTATTGACTTGATAATCTTGATAATCAACTTGATTTGGAGTTTATTTTAGTACAGCTTCATTTTTTACAAAGATCCAATTTCACAAAGGACGAACGATGACGAGGAATAAACGACGATGTTCCTTACTTGTAACTCACGTTATTCTGTCAGTTTACAGTTCCGTTACTTTTTGAATAATACGTGTATAAAATAAATAATCAAGCTATAGTTCACGTCTTTTTCGTCGGCTTGAATAAATCTGATGATTGAATCCTACAATCGGCTGTCATCCAATGACATCTATATAACAGGATAAAAGATTATATTAACATTCTACTAATTTCTTAATATTAGCATGACGATATAAGATATTAGGTACAAAATTTTCAGTGCACATGTTTATAAAAGTAAACAGGTTAAAAGAATTTAATTATAGATCTTTGAACTTCGCAAGTTAGGAATTAATTTCCCATCTTCTGATACCTTATTTCTACACTGAAAGAAAAAATTGGCAACAAATTAGATTACAAAAAATATGTCATAACATTTTTAATTGGCTGCTGCAACTAATTAAAAATGCTATGCCATATTCAGCCAATCTTTTCTTTTAATGTACCTTTTGAATCCTATACTTTAATAAAGCATCAAATTATCCATAATTTTCGACAAGTGCACAGCAAATGCGTGAGCGTCATCGAACACAATAGGTGCCAAATAGTGCATTGTACGGAAATGGAGAGGTTTTGCAAAAGTTTCATCTCCTCCTCAGTATATAGGGAGCGGGGATTGAGAGAAAACGCGTAATTGAATGATGCGCACCCCGGGTACTCGATGAATAGAATTCAATGAGTCGACACTACCTGCAAATGTACGGGGACGTCGCGAGTTACGATCTTAACCCGGCCTCCCGCTCGACGTCTTCGCCACGAAGATCGACGTAGTCTTGTCGCGAATTTAATCTTCGAGACGAGGCAGCGGCTGCGGGGTGATTTCATCCCTTCGAAAGTTCCGTCCATTTTGAGGAACCCAGCTAGCTTCTATCTGCATCTCGAATCCGATTCGCCATTTTGCGTTGCAGCAAACACATAGATTCGTCGAGTCTCATGTCAAACGTCGCGTAGAGAAGAGATGAAATAAAATGTAAGGAAGTAAGGATTTAATCTATGTATGCTGCATCTCGCAAGGAACATTGCCGTTGTACTCCTCGAGATGTTTTCACATAAAAAGCATGGTTGCGTTAAAAGAGGGCAGGGCCCGTTTGATTCGTGTCACTTCTGCCCGCTACGATTTTTTCGAGATAGTTTGCCTATCGAATGACGTTGCTCGTGGCAACTGGCAATCGATCTCGCAGCACGTGCTAATTCACGAGAAGCTTTAACCGTTCAATGAGTTCAATCACGTCATCCCACAAAATCATTAGTCTTTACATCCCCTCACATCCGTCACATCCCCTCGATCGTGTTAGGACGAACGAAACTAAGCACATCAGTGAGATAATATGGTTGAGCATTGAAATTTCAAGATTTTCGATAAAATTTGTGTATTTTAGATTATGGAATAAATTGGCTTTTGAGGTAAATTTATATTTCTTTTGATTATGAAATCAGATTGATTTGAATAAAAATAACTTATACATAATTGAAGAAACGATTTTGTTTAATTTTGATTTAGCTAAAAATTTAACTTTACATACAGATCTAAAAATAATTTTGTTGGATCATCAAAATAATTTTGTAGAAATCTCAAGCATGATAAGCATCAATGCTGCAAAATGCCATTCTATCAACCAGTTTGACGTCCTATATAATTATTGAGATAATCTAATAAAATTATTTCAGAGATTATTAAACATTTAAAAAAATAAGCTGATAACATATCAAAAAGTAATCAAGCGAACTATAAATATTTTAAGCAGCGGATAGGTTCCCTTCAAATTGCACGCTTCTATGAGTTTGGCAGAAAATCAACATCTTGTCAATCGACAGTTAATTTCATATTGAACGATTTTTAATCTCAAGGGAGAAAAGCGAATTTGATTTGCTCTCGATAGAGAGAGAGAGAGAGAGAGAGAGAGAGAGAGAGAGAGAGAGAGAGAGAGAGAAAGAGAGATGGACAAGCGCGCGTCGGGTCGCAATTTTTAATTTTTCAGACGATAGTGGATAGCTTCCCACGCGAGAGATGATGTCGATTCGCCGCGGCATGGCGTCGATGGATTTCATTAACTCGAAGAACCCGCGCTTCGTTCAACGTTGAACGAACGAACGAATGAACGAACGAACGAACGAACGGTGGTATGCGAAGATGACAACGCGCACTCTCGCGGTCGGTCTATCATTCCGCTGAAAATCGTGGAATTTCTTTATTGTTCGCTACGGCATCGAGGGGTTCTGGGCTTTCCTTACCCCTCTGGAACGTCTCTCTCTCTCTCTCTCTCTCTCTCTCTCTCTCTCTCTCTCTCTCCTCTTCCCCTCCCCCCCTCTCTCCTCCTCTTACCCTGGCGCCCTATCTCTTGCCCGCCACCTTCTCGTACGAGACGACGCCGTCACCCGCAGATGCTGCTCTCAACCCTGCACCACTATAATTAATACGGCAGCGAACGTTCTGGGAAACGCAGTCTCGTAAAGTTAATTCAATTCGCGCGAAACGTAAGCGGTCTCCGGTTTTTTCCAAGGGGTGTACTTCCTCGAAGGAGATACGAAAGACTTCGAAAGGGCGCTCCTCATGCGCTGCAGCGAGGATGTTGCAGCGAATTGAAACTTTAATCGCGTTTAACGTCGGATTACTCGGCGTGAATAACATTTTTCGTTCAGGGGAGGGAAACATGATAGTAGGTGAGGTAATTAGGATAGGATAAAATAAATAGTAAAAGAAAGTGATATATTGGATACTATATTAGGAAAAATTTTGTTCTATATGAACCAAAATTTTATTCTAACAAAAAAAATTTAGTTGAAATGTATTGAACAAAAATTTTTGGTTAAAATGTAAGGAATAAAATTGTAATTTTACGTGAACTTTTTAACGTAAATTGTTTAGTTTTTTTTTTGAGATAAACAAATATTTTTATTATTTACAAAGCGAAGAAATTATTTTACAAAAGCAACTAAATTTTTCGTTACATAAACAAATTATTTAATTGCTGCTAAAAATGCCTCAACTAAATAGTTTTGTTAAGGGTACTAGATTTTTTTCCTTAGTGTATAATTGAAACATGTACTGATTGTGATAGTACATTTAAAACATAGATAAAAGATAGAAGAGTAATAATAAGGATAGAAAAAATAGAGAGATAGGAAGTAGAACAATAAGCAATTATAGTAAGAAAGCGTGTGAGGAAAACATGGATGAGTAAGGTATACAAATAAAATATTAATTGAATTAACTGAAATTCTGATGGAAAATAATAATCTAGAATTATGATTAAGTCTATTAGATTTCTGCTTAAATTTACTAGAATTCTAATAGATTTATCCAAGGAAATTTTGAATGTTATTTATCTGAAGTAGAGAGAGTTCTAGTAGAATTCCAGTAGATTCAGAATTCTGGATCGTTCATTTTTCATCAGAATTCCAATTAATTCAACTAAATATTTTTCTTCGTATAGGAACAATGTTTGCAAACCAGTCCCTAATTATTAAATATTTGAGAG